TACTGGTCCCCCACATAATGATGTTTTGGTCACTGACAGACCATGTATACAGTGATGCTCCCGGAGGCTCGGTGTTTCGAGGCCATCCTCCCAGGTCTGTGTGAGGACACTTCCTGGCATTCATACAAGGACAAAATCACCTAACAACACATTCTCGGCACATTTCCAGTTGTCACATGGTACCAACTATTTTTTTTTTGGAGAGGTTTTTGCTATAGGACACATGCGCTCGCCAGACAGAGACAGAGAGACAGAAAGTAAGAAATCATCCCTGGGGTGGGGGGGTGGGGGAGGTGGCCATGCTGCAATCCCTACTCCTCCATTCTCCTCTTGGGATCTTGGGCACCCGGCGTGAGTTTTAAGCCACCAGGTCTGGGACGTGAACCACGGTCAACTACATGGGAGTCCAGCGACAGCCATTACGCTAACTGCTGGTTCCCCAGCTATTTTTATATACATATTTTGGGTGTTTGGAAAAGTCATGATGTATTTTTCGATCTTTTTTCTATGAAAAAATGTATCGGAACTTTTCAGACAACCCAATCTTTATGCATCTATGCATGTTCTCCTAAGTAAGTTCCCTGAGGACTGGAACTAGATCTCTTCATCTTCATGTCCCCAGAGTCCAGCACAAGTCCTGCCCATGCTACATGTTAAATAAATGTTGGGTGAATGAATGAGTCGATTATGGCTGGATGTGTCAAGGGTGTTAAAGAGGTGATTCATGCTACCTAGTTTTTAATGTTCTAAACAGAAGATTCTGTGATCTCCAAAAATCTGCATACAAACCAGCTTCCTCTGGAGACACAGTCTTCCTTTGCATCTTCACAGTCAATTTGAAACTTAGGTATAATGAATTAAATTACCATGTGTAATATTCAACTGCTATATTAGCCTAGGTTTAAAACTCAGGTATTAAGTATGAGGATAGGAATTTTTTCCTCCAATGCTCTGTACTTCACATAAATATGTCGAAAGCCCCATCTAGTAAAGAAACAGAGATCTTCCAATGGAAATTTGACCCTTCCAGCTGTGACTCAATTCAAGATCTACCCTCTAGGCCACCTTTAAAGGAAATGTCACCACATCCTGGCCTGGGGGATTTACTGCTTCGCAGGTTGGTGCACACGGTCCACCACCTTTCACCAGGCTGGGGTTCACCTGCAAATGTCACCCCTTCAGAGGCCCAGCTTAGGAGTTAACCCAAAAGACTTCCTGGAGCAACCTCTGCAGGGACTCAAGTGATAAGCAGATCTCATATCCTCCTTAAGAGAAACACAAAGAAAACTACTGGTTTGTTGGAAAAAATTGTAACACATTTTTTCACAGAAAATATGTCATGACTTTTCCAACGACACAATAATTCTCTGGCCCGTGGACTGCAGCCTGAACTTCTTCTAAATGTTTTTCTTTATTCATGATAGAGTATGTGTGCATGCATGTGAGTGAACTAGAGGGTGGTACACAGGGCCTGGACATACTGCAATCCCCCTCCTTCAATCCTCCAGACCGTTGGGTCTTGGACACTCGTATATGTGCCTGGCAGGTTTCAGGCTGACCAGGCTGGGATTTGAACTGCAGAGCCATGCGGGATCCAGTTCCTCTTGAGCAGTGCATTACCACTATGCCATGCGGCTGGCCTCTCTCCTAAAGGCTGAGACTGCCTTCCAAGTCACTATTGTGTTTTTGTCCCCGTATAGGAGCACGGTCGGGTGTCCAGGGAGGGAGCCATGTCTCCAGGGAGCACCTAACATACGCTAGGCCCTGTGCTGGGGACCATCACACTGAACCCTCATGACAACCCTATTGGGGATATTTGTGCCCGCTGTCTGCCTTTCTTGCCGCACACCTTACCTCTGACTACCTGCTTTCTCCTTTCCAGTCCTACTTGCCTCTTGCTATCCCTGGGGTCCACAAGTCCCTGCCTCAGGCCACCACACTCGCTACTCCCTCTTTCTGGAATGCTCCTCCCCTGGTACTCTGCAGATCCCTCTTACTTCATCTAGGTCCGGTCCCAGTGCCACCTCCTCAGGCAGCCATTATCAGCCCTGCCATGTGAATGAGACCACTGCCTCCACTGTCTTCAAGTGGCCCCTGGATGCCTCACTCAGTCAGTCAGCTGCTTCCTGTCCATGTCCCCACTGGAACTCAAGCTCACAGGCAGGGACCCTGCATAGCTCACTGCCGAGGGCCTGGCGCGTGGTCAGTGCCCACCACTAGTGGTCACACATGGCCGAGCACCCCCTTCCTCTCTGCCTGGTCTTGCTCCCATAGTCTGTGGCACAGTAGTGGGAGGCCTTGACCAGGTAATGTCATCTGGTCTCACATGCAATTTTCTATTTACGTAGAGTGGCCTTGTCAAAGAAGGGACTGCTTGTTCCAACCCTCCTTAGAGACCATGTCACCCCTTGCTCTGATGTTGGTGTAACACAGCCAGTTTGAGAAGTTTATGATTTTATCAGAAAAGAGGCATCTGAGGCAACTGATGAATCAAAAAGATAATTATATTTCAAAAAGATAAATTTTAAAACTTCAAAATGACCAACTACATGTTTATCGTTAGAAGAGACAATTAGTTCATTTAATGCCTTCTTTTCAAAGCATAGAAATGGACTCTCTTGAAAGAGTTATAAAAAGCTGTGTTATCTGGCATCGAACCAACAAGAGGGCTTCTGAAAGGGGAAGTTCTGAGATTCCACCAATACAAATGTCCCAGCTGACAACAGGATCCAGGCAGAAACTAATCACAATCCAAGAAAAGACCAGCCTTCACTGTCAGTCTCTGGAGATAAACTAACTCTGTTTTCAGAACTCTATATTTGTTTTACTTCACATCACTGTTCTGTTTCAAAGGGGTATTGCAGTTGCTGGAAAATGTTTCATTTTCTTTTATAATTTATTTTTAATTGCCAGAGAGAGACAGAGATGGGGGTAGGGTGAGGGAAGGAGGTGGAGAGCCAATGGGGGGGTGGCCACAACACAATACCTTGTTCTCCATTTTTCCATCCTGTCAGGATTTAGGGCACACGCACACATGCACGAGGCCAGGATTTGAACCACAGTCGGTCATGTGGGATCCGGCTCCCTTAATCACCAGACCACTGCACCAGCCCATGGTTCTTTGCGGTAAAACATGTTACAACCCGCAGAAGCATTCTGTAAATAGAGATGGTTCATTTTCCAACTCGGGCTTTTCTTTGGGTTTGTTTCACGCAGTCTGTCTAACATTGTTTTAGTCGTGAAATTTCCTCCTGGCATCTGAAGGGCTTCTGTTTACTAGAATGTCCCTAGTTTTTCTCTTTCTTAACACAGTTACCACTTCAAAGGAACTCTTCTGGCTTTAGGCCAGGTCAGGCTCAGAGAGGGAAATACCTCCGAGATAAGAAAAGGTCTTCTGGGAAAATTGTAGCAACCTCTATGTTTATAGCAACTTTTAACCAATCTACACACCCCTCACACTTACAAGGTGGGAGATAAGAAACCCATAATGTACAGCCAAGTACCAAGACAGATAAAATGCTGCAGGTGAGTTCACTTCCAAAGAAGAAGAAAAAAGGAGTTCAGATTCGTTTTTGAATCCCGCTGGTGGCCTTGGTAGCAGCTGTAGAGGGAAGGCGCACAGTGGGTTGGGAAGCGCCGCGGAGGGGGCACACAGGGTGAAACGTGAAGCTGAGAGCAGAACGTGTCCAGCACGCCGTGTCCTTGCTGTCGTCTTGAATGCGCGACTCCGTATTTCCAGACTTTTCCTTTCACTATACTTGGTCATAAACTCTGAATCGCTTTTATGCTTGCAATCAGCCACCAAGCATTCCCATTCTTTAGCATTAATGACAAGCTTACCTGATATTCAAACATAAACTTCGTCCCTTTTCCTTCATGCCACATGCTAACAGCTTATCACAGAACACACTAGAAAAATCACTTTCTTGAATAATTATTTTTTATTTAAAATTTTTTGGCCATTATTTTATTTTTTTGAAGTTGACCAGAGAGAGACAGAGAGAAGGAAAGTGAGAAAGCAAGCTGCCAGGTCCAGGAATCAAACTGTGGTCAGTCATGTGGAAGTTCAGCTGCCTTAACCACCACGCCACCTGCTGGCCCCCAAAATCATTTTTTATAGCTTGATTCATCTTCCGAAGGATTTTTTTTTAAGCCAAAGAGAAGAAAAGCTAGAGGTGGTTTAGTGATATGTATACACTTTCAGAAATTCTTGTGCCCAAAGGAAGAAAAATCCCCTGGGTACGTGGATCTCTGGCTAACTGATCAAATTCCAAACACACATTCTGCTGGGCAGCGTATTGTTAATTTCTTTAATTCTCATGCCAAGGTCAATTTAGGCTCCATCCCTAGTCTTCCGGAATATGACATTTATCCTCCAGTGACACTTTATGCTCTGCAGTTGTCAAAGAGGATAAAGCGAGAATATATAATGTATGTAAATTATTTTTTAAATCTCCAGAGTGTGCAGGTGCTCACCAGAGAGGTGCACCCCTACAACATGTGTGGTCAAACTGCAATCCCTTCTTGGGACCAGCAGTTAGCGTAATGGCTATGTTGCTGGACTCCCACGTAGTCGACCGTGGTTCGAGTCTTAGACCCGGTGGCTTAAACTCATGCCGGGCATATGTGTGTGCATGCCCAAGATCCTAAGAAGAGAATGGAGAAGAAGGGATTGCGGCGTGGCCATCCCCCCCGAGGGGTGATTTCTTGCTTTCTGTCTCTCTGGTAAGTGCACACGCCCTATAGCAAAAACCTCTCAAAACAAAGCAAAACAAAGCAAAAAACAAAAAACCTGCCATCGCTTTCCATTTCTCCATCCCGTCAGGACCTTGAGTGTGCATGCATGCACATACACCAGTGTTGTTCAAAACACTGCGGCTGGGATTTGAACCAGAGCTGGCCACATGGGATCTGGCTCCCTCAACCTCCAGGCCAGGGCCAGACCTAATGTGTAACCTCTCACAACCAAAGTGTGTGCGTTTTAACGCTATTCAACTTACCTTTTCATTCCATGCCCACAGTCCAATTCCGAGAAATGCTATTCCCAAAAACTGAAAGACAGAAAGAAAGAAAGTGGTGTTAAGGATAAGTTAAGTACAGACCATGTTTTTCCTAATACAAAGAAAAATGTTTTCAGTCAATTCTTCTGCCATTTTATTTGGCTAGGAAATAGCTTTCTCTAAAATCTTTTCCCTCTTTATCAGGATCCTCTTGCGTAAAATTATTTTACATCATTAAGAAGTGTTGGAGGGAACAGCAGTTGGCGTAATGGCCATGTTGCTGGACTCCCATGTAGTCGATCACAGTTCCACCACCCGGACCCGGTGGCTTAAACTCACGCCGGGCATGTGTGTGTGTGTGCCCAAGATCCTGAGAGGAGAATGGAGGAGAAGGGATTGTGGGTGTGGCCACCCCCCAGGGGGTGATTTCTCGCTTTCTGTCTGTCTCTGTCTTTCTGGTGAGCGTGCAAGCCCTATAGCAAAAACCTCTCAAAAAAAAAGGAAGGGTTGGAGACATACAGGTTCTTGAAGGCATTCAGATGATGAATAATAATCATGTGGAATCTTAAGTGAAATAAAATCATCAGAAACTTTCAATCTCATTGCCAGAAAGCATGTATGCTCACCAGAGAGACAGGAAGAGAGAAGGCTTGGTCAGGTTGCAATCTCTCTTCTTCCATGTCCCCAGTGTCATGGCTTTGGGGACATCTGTACACACACCCAGCATGTGTTCCAAATCACCAGGGCCAGGGTTCGAACTGTGGTCGGTCACATGGCTCTCTATGCACATCACTTAAGCACCATACCATAGGACCAGCCCTTCAATACCATTCAATGCTGCCTTTTTGGGGGAGATGAGATACCAGTGAGTACCCATGACTCTGAGCTCAGCATCCACTAAGACACAGATAAGCAGAGGCATGAGTTTAGAGGGGCTATGATCTTCCCTTCACCATGGAGGGACAGGTCAGAGGGCACCAAAGAGCCCATGATGTCACCCCAACAAGCTCCGGGCCCACTCCTTCTCAAGGTAGCATGAATCTTAATCAAGTCCAGAGTGGCCCAAAGAAAAATGCCTAGATTATTCGGTTTTACGATCATTTTAACTGCTTAAATTGTAGTTCGGGGGCCTTTGCAGTCCTCCCTGGCCTCACCTCAGTTCCTAACCTCACACACAACACAGAGCTCACACAGCACACAGGACCAACTTCCACCTGGGCCTGATGCAGAGGCGTACTCTCTACGTGCCCGTGTTACCCCACATTCTGCCAATCACCTGGGCTGAGGACTGCATGGGGCTTGGGGTCAGGAGGGAAGCAGGTGATAACCAGGAAGACTTCTCACATTAATTATTCCTGGTATTCCATCTGCTCTAAGATATGCATTCCCCTCATATTTTAACATCTCTGAAATTGGGGTGCATCTTAAAAATCAGTGGTATCACACAGTTCTCTTTTGTCCCCTTGATGTTACCTAAAATAATAGCATACCTCATCACTAGGCTGTCACAGATTTGGTGACATGCTGTATAGGGCTGTCCACCCACACAGGGCTCAGGGGTCAGGACTGGCTGTGATGAGCCACAAGCAGAAACACAGCAGGGACATCTCAACCTCCTGATTCCGAACAACAGCAATTTTGAATTTCCTTACAGAATAATAGCAGGAAGAGACAGTGGGCAGGTTGACAGGAGTTTCACTATTTATTTTGCTAACATCTTGATTAAGTTAAATGTCAGGAAGGCCGTCAGAGGACAGAGGATGGGGTGCCCAGAGAAAATGAGGGGAGGTGCTGATTCTTCACAGTTTCAGGGAAATCTGAGAACCATTCGCCTGGCCAAGACTCTGCCACTCACAGCAGGGAGTGACCTGCTGAAAGGGTGTAGACAACAGCTAAAAATTCGGAACTAAAAATTCCTAACAGGACAAGGAAAGTAGCAGGAGCGAGGAAAGGGGATGGAGAGGACTAGCGAGGAAACTTCTGAGACTTGGTGGCGTGTTTAAAAGCTCCTGCCAGCATCCGCGCTTTGACCAGACACAGGTAAGACCTCGCAAGTCCCGTACCGAGAAGCGTCAGCTCGCCTTTGACTTGGCAAAAATGGAAGATCCCTTTCTCTCTCCCCTTGCTCTCCTAGGGGAGCTGCTGGCAAAGCATTTAGAAAGATTTCTGCTTTTCTGCATCACGGAAAAACTGTGGTCAGCCCCTTCTCAAAGGCCTGGTCAGCGAGCTGTGTCATTTTATGCTTCAGATTCAAAATAAGAGACGAACCCCTCAAAGGACTCAAAGGGACTTGGGACGCTGCAGGACAAAAATAAAGCAAGTCAGCGGATTCCTCTCACAAGCAGAGTGCCAGGCAGAACAGTAGCAGCTGACGAGGGAGCACCCAGGGTCCCTCAGAGCTAGAGCTGGGGGCGCGGAGTGATGGCCGACTTCATAGTGTCCACACCAGACGCAGCGCAGGGAACCGGCGGCTTTCTAGCACTAAGGCTCTTCATGGTCAAATGTCTGGGGCTTTTCCTGATGTGATATGTAGTCAGTGTCACCACAGCAATTGTGGGGAGGGGGGAAAGGACATGGCAGTCAACTGTCCCTGTTGCTGAAGAGAGTAGACAGGACATGGTGCACATGCAGGCCCCATAGCTGCAATCACTTCTGTGTCTTCATTACCTGTCAGACACGGTATTTAGTGTTTCATATGCACACTTTGCTTTTTTCCCCTTTAAGATTTTTGGCATAGGGTGCATGTGCTGGGAGGGAGGGAGAGGGGGAGACAGTAAGAGGGAAAGTGAAAAATCACCCCCGGGGGGCGTGGTCACATGGCAATCCCTTCTCCTCCATTCTCCTCTTGGGATTTGGGGCATGCACGCTCATGTGTCCAGTGTGAGTTTCCAACTGCCAGGTCCAGGATTTGAACCATATGTGAGTCTAGCATCTTAAATACGACGTCATCTGCTGGCCCAACAAGGTCTCTTATTTTAAGCTTCACAACAGTCACTGTTCTAGCCCCTTTTCAGAAAAGAGGACAATGAGGCATAGAGTGTCACTGCTGCCTTCAGAGGCACACAGTTTCCGAGTGGGGCAACACGGGGAGCGGGTTACCCTTCCTGATAAGTTCCCATCTGCTCCACGGGACAGGGAGTCGAGGCTGGAATTCAAAGGCATATGATCTGGACATCAGGTTCTCCACCCACCCCGAAGCAAATGTGCTATGGTGCACGGAGGGGGTGCTGAAGAAGAGAAGAAACAGAAAGCTTGCGTCCCGGTGAGAGCTGGCTACACAGCCATGCCACGCTGCTGTCACCAGCGGTGTGAAGGAGAACTGAGAAATTCGACGGTGCGTCAACTTTCTCGTCTTTAAATAAAGTTCTCCCTTCTCTTCCTGGCACTATGAGAAGCTTATTTTCATTCACGAATCATATAAATCGCTTGGAAACTAATGGTTTTCCACCAAAGAAGAGAGGGGAAAAAAGGTAAGGACTTAAAAAAGACGTGCAATTGATTTCCTTTACAATCTTGTCCCAGCGTTTCCTGCTTTGACTGGGGCTTTGCAAACACAGCCTTGAGGATTTGGAGACCCTCACTGAATCCAAAGCTCCAGGAGACATGGCACCTACGCGAGCCAGCATGAGCAGGCCTCAGCTCCATCATACCTTCGGGTCGACGTCACCAGCACATGTCCTCCCAATTACTCGCAGCCCATATGTTTTGTTTTAAAATCAAGTTGTCCCCGCTCCAAATAATTAAACAGAGAAGAGCCAAAAAACAGACAGGCACGCAGCACTAGAGGCACACTCCGTTTCCTCTTCCCCACCTCCCCGAGAAAAAGGCCGCCAACTGCCAAACTGACCTCATTCTGAAGCCCAGAGAGGCCACAGTCCAGGAGCCAGGGAGGAGGCGAACTTACACTTCTTGCTCTTTTGTTACAGAAACAAAAACAAATCTGGACCCTCCCCCCATGGCCATACATGTGAATGTGCAGTACGATTGCTGGTCCACCCAGTGTTTGGTGTTTTAAAACAAATAATAATTTTGCCAACACTTGTTGAGTGCTAAGTCTGAACTAAAGTACAGAGTTTAATTGGGTTGTCGGAAAAGTCATGACATTTTATTTTTTTTCTGTGCAAAAATGCGTTACGACTTTTCTGACAATGCAATATATGAATTAGTTAACAGCGTGGCCACCAAACTGCTGAGCCCTTAAAGTGAGGCTTGTTGAAACTGAGATCGGCTTGCAAGTGTACCAGGTAGCCTGGGCTTGGAAGACACAATGCAAATGAAAAGAATCCAGATTACACATTGAAATGGAAATAATCTGGAAACAGTAGGTTAACTATATTAAAATTGGGCCAGCTAGGTGGTATGGGGTAAAGGTGGCTGGATCCCACAAGGCTGGCTACGTGGTGTGAGTCCTAGACGGGCGGTTTGAATAAACACCCTAGGCGAGTGTGCGTGTGTGTATGCCCCAAACCCTCAGAGGACAATGGAGGAGAAGGGACTGCGGTATGATTTCTCACTCTCTCTCTGTCATGCTCATGTGCACTACAGAGGATTTAAAAATACATATATTAAAATTAATCTTACCTGCTAAATATAGCTATTGGAACATGCAAATTACATGTAGCTTGCTATATATATATATATACATACATACATATATATACATACATACATATATATATATATATATATTAGGTTGTCAGAAAAGTCATGGCACCATCTTGCATAGAAAAAAAATACATCATGGGGACCGGCAGTTAGCATAATGGCTATGTTGCTGGACTCCCACATAGTCGACCGCGGTTCGCGTCCCGGACCCAGTGACTTGAAACTCACGCCGGGCACGTGTGCGTGTGTGCCCAGGATCCCGAGAGGAGAATGGAGGAGAAGGGACTGCGGCGTGGCCATCCCCCCTGGGGGGTGACTTCTCACTTTCTGTCTGTCTCTCTCTGTCTGTCTGGCAAGCGCACATGCCCTATAGCAAAAACCTCTGCAAAAAAAAAAAAAATCATGACTTTTCTAACAACCCTGTACAATGTGCCTGTCTGTGTGTG